AAAAAAAAAAAAAAAAAAAAAGAAAAAAAAAATCCACTTGGGAAGGTGATGCCAAATTTCTTGGGAATGACATAATGAAATCCTTAGTGGAAAAATGTATCTTATTCCTAGAGATATTCAGAATTAAATATGGGAAAGATAAAGTCAGTCAGACCGGTACTATTAACATATTTACATATTTATGATTAGAGACTTTGTTTAGTTTTTTAGGAATGTGTGTTTAAGCCCATATGACATATCAGAGTCTCTAACAGATTAGATTTGTGATTCTAATTTAAAATATGTAGTTGATTTAGACTTGTGATTTTAAATTGAAATTGTATTAGGTTTATAAACAATATTAGCACACTTAAGAGAATTTAAGATTTACCATACTTATAGCTAATTTACTAGATTTACAAAAATTACTGAAGTACTAGTGAAGGATCTATTTGTTAATCAGACTACTAAAAAACTTAAAAAAGAAACTGAATACATTGAATCTCTAAATGCAGTTTTTAAATGTTTAAGAGGAGTTAATAACCAAATTTGTAAGCAGGGCTAAACATTAATCAAAGCATCTTCAAAGGTGATTGCAAAAATATGCTAGATTTATAGAGTAAAATTTTTAAGTTGAATGAAAAGCGTAAGGAAAACTACAGTTCTTAATTTTTCATTTAAATAAAGTGAATGTTGATGCTAAAAACAAAATAGCCTCTGAATAATCTTTTTGTGGTCCCAAAGCCATCATTTAAGATATCATAAAACTCATATTGACATAGCATTTGAGTTAATGCCTTTTTTTTTTTTTTGAGACAGTCTCACTTTGTCACCCTTGGTAGAGTGCCGTGACATCACACCTCACAGCAACCTCAAACTCTCGAGCTCAATTGTTCCTCTTGCTTCTGCCTCCTAAGTAGCTGGGACTATAGGCACCTGCCATAACACCCAGCTAGTTTTTTAGAGACTGGGTCTTGCTCTTGCTCAGGCTAGTCTTGAACTCACGACCTCAAGCAATCCACCTGCCTCAGCCACCCAGAGTGCTAGAAATTGTTAATGATTTTGAATTAGTTTTACTTTCTAAATTAAAAAAAAAAAAATCACTGTCCTCTAGTTGTTCTGAGTCTAGTAGGGAAACAACTTCAAAAATGTCAAAAAGTCATGGATTGGCACCATAACAGGGCTGGCTCTGTCTGGTGAAGGGGTCCGTTAGAAAGGCTTTTGGAGAGGCTCCCTGTAGCTCAAGGGGGTAGGGTGCCAGCCCCATATGCCAGAGGTGGTGGGTTCGAACCCAGTCCCGGCCAAAAACTGTGGGAAAAAAAAAAAAAAAAGAAAGGCTTTCGAGAAGGGACATGCTTGAAGCACCCCTCCCCTTCTGCTGAGGCTTTGTAGATTTCCTTTTGCATGAGATAGTAACTTTCCCTCCTAGTTGAGTTGGATGTCAAATTACTTGCAACTGAAAGCCTGGAACAGCTGCAGAGGATTGCTAAGTATGCAGGCAGGGGCAATTCACTTTCCAGAAGTGTTTGCCCAGTTCCGAATGCAAGGTGCATATTCTCTCTCTGTAACAGGCTGATTTGGCAATGGGCAGTCTCTAAGGGGCAACACAACCAGATTTATGCGGAAAAAGATCACA